TCATATACTCTTGCTTCTAAATAACCTAATGACTCTATAGTGTCGCTCGAACTAAAAAAAAGGTGTTGGATGATGAGTCTCCACCACCAGGACTTGGCGATTGGGTTCCCTAATCCCCAGTCGCCCTTTAAACGAGTGTTACATAGGGTATTTCTCGTTTCTTCTTAGCATGTCTTCGTAGTGTAATGGTCAGCACGCTCGACGCGTATTCGAGAAGTCCGAGGCTCGTGTCTCGGCAAGGGCACTGCTCACTTCTTCGATTTCCTTGTTTCGAAAAATCCTAATCATTATCTTAGAAGTAGAAGTCATCAACTTCTAAGAAACAATAGACGTATACATAATTACATAATAAACCTAAAATGAGTGCAAGCACACACAGGAATAGAAGGTAAAAATAGCATACAAATTAGACAAAGAAGCAGCTGATTTAGAAGCTATTATACGCATCTATCCGGCTTCCAGCTCCTCCTTCACACTAAAAAAGTCATCTTGGAAAAAGCAGTCTAAAAATGGAAAAATAAATGGGATCACGGAGCAACAGGAAGACGAACGTATGAGTTTATGCCAGAAGTCTCAACTGAACGTCTTACAGCCATTTTATAGCTAAGACAATTTATAACAGGTCACTGTACACTTCCGTAGATCCAATATCTCACAACCAAACATCTGCGTCTGAGGGACTGAAGGTTCCCCAGAATATTAAATCTTCCACTGCACATTGAGATACTCAAACCATGTACGCTTTACAACCAACTACGGCATACCGTACAAAAAAAATATAATAAAAAATTATGTGTCAGTTAATAAAATTTTTAGAAGTATCAACATAGCAGCAACTATGAGGCAACATATACTGTATCAGCCAAGCTAAATTAAAATATTCAATAAGCTACTATTTCATAACAGATTTTATTTGGTTTCCCTTTTTTTATTTATTTATTTTTCGCACAATCTTCTGAATTTTCTCCGCAATGACAATGCTTACATCGCCTGAGCATAATTAACTAATGAGCTTATGAAAATTTTAAAAACTTTAAATCATGAACTAACAACTGCAAAATATAAAATAACAATGCACTAATTACAAAGCAGCAATGTAATGTACTTTATATATATATATATATATTGTAGTCATTATTATTTTTTGAAGCAAGAGATGTGAAAAATGTGCAGTGTCCTGGCCGGGACTCGAACCCTGGACCTCTCGAATACGCGTCGAGTATTCGCACCGTATGTATATATATACATATTACTCTTTCTTTAAATGCATACTTTTATGTTGTATATTTATATGCATGTTTATGTTGTATGTTGTGTGTATGTAATTGTAAGTTCTTGTTGTATACTGAATGTTATGTTTAATTTTATGGTATATGTATACATGTTATATTTTATAATTCTGTGAGCAAACCAAAGATGTCACTCTGTACCCCATTTTCCACTCTAACCAATACAAAAACCATTAGCTATGCAGAAACTTATTCTCAAAATACCTAAACTCCCAAAGCGATACTCTTGTTGCCCCTGGGAGGTGTTGCTCTGGATAGGAGAGGGCGTGGGACATACTTTAACCATCATCATATGTTAGACATCAGATGTCCCCGCCCTCCATCACCAGTCACTAGAAACGTAACATTTTTAAAAATCAGGAGTTGAAACGATTCAGGTCTCATGAAAAATTTTAAAAATAAGTAATTAAAATAATTTCTCAATGCTCCCAATGTGCAACATTTGCAAACAAATGGCAAACTGAACGCCCTTTCCATGATTCCTGAGTTTTGCTGCACCTTTTTAGAGAAAAAAAATGCACTTTTTCAACCTTGCGAATATTTTTTTATTATTATTACTGATTTTTCTGGCTCCTGGCTATGTAAATTGTAAACTCAAGCAAACCGCTTTACGAACAATTTAATTTCCGAGCAATTCACTGCTGATTGATTTTTCTTTCTAGCTTTTCGTTTTATAAGCAGAAGGAAAATCGTTTCTTTGCACCTTTTTTATATGGATGCTAGTTCAGTTACGTTTCGTCTTTGTTGCACATATTCAGCATTTTGATGTGCAAGAGCTTCATGGAGGTGTTTAAAATTTACATTTTGCTCTCATTATGTTTAAACGTATGTTCACACAGAACTTGCAATGTTTTGCTCTTTTGATAGTGGAAGCAGTGACCACTAATAAATCTATTATTTTCAACGCAGGTATGAGTAACCGCATTAAAAGAGCTCTCATTAAAAAGAGCTATTAGGTTAATAGACCTTAACTGGCTTATCCTAATTAACGCAATGTAAACTAACTAATCTTATAAGAGCTCAATAGTATAATATTTGAGGAACTATTTGTTAAAAATGAGTACATACTTGTTAATTTCCTCATTCCGATTTTCATTTGGAGGTAAGCGTTGATTTTTTTGGATTGCTTCACATGACTACAGAAACTCAATAACGACAATAGTTATTTTAAATCGTTTAACATGAAGTAGCGAAGCTTAAATAAATGTGATGTAATCGTTATGTAGATCATTGGCAGCGTGCATTTGCACATTTGTCTGATTTATATTCCAGTCTTCTATTTCAGTGAATGCTGAACTTGAGTGTTGTTAAGGTAAGATAATGCGGAATAATTTTGAAGCTATAGATATATAACTATAGCTTTTTGAGGGGAAGAAACGAACAAGGAAGTAAGCGAAAAATGTTTGGTTGTTATTTGGTAGCCTCTTATTAAAAAAAATTCGATTCCTCTTTGGATTCAAATAAAATACTAAAATGCATTAACTTGTTTTTAATTAATTTAAAATACTAAGCACTTATTTATTACATTTTTAAGAAATTAAGCTAATATTGTTAAGAAGAATTTTCTTATAATAATCTTTCATATATTCTTATTTCTTCATAAGTAAAGCTGAGCCTCTTAGAATAAATTCCAGACACTGCATATTTAATGTTACAGTAACTACTACAATTTTTGATTCCCATTCTGAAAAGCACAACTTTATAACATTGCTGTGCAACCAAAGTTACAATGTCAGCAGCCTTTCTCAAAAACAGCCCGTTTCATTAATGTGCCATAACTGAAATTCATTCCCTATTAATAAATTAAAAAGAAAAGCAAATTAAAATTCATTTAAAATCTACTGTTATAAAATAAACCTTACTAAAAACTTCTACTGAAAACTGAAATCCTACTAAAGTTACTACAACGAAATAAAAATCCCACAAAAGAACACTACTGTTATTTTAATGGTGCCTAGCATAAAAATGCCGGCAGCTTATAATAGCTTGCTTGATTCGAAGAAATTTCACAAAAGCGTTGAAATAATTTATACCAGTCACTACTATGAAAGTTTTTAATTTCGGGTACGCTGAGAACCTTTTGTTAAATGTACCTGCATCCTTCTGCCGGTTATAGTTACGAAAACGTGCCTTTGCGCAGGCAACGGTTTCCTGAACTCAGATAAGAAATAGAAAAGTTTGGGAGAAAATTAAAAGTTTCAAAATATCTCTTATTCGTGGACTAAAAGAAAAAGGTTGAACATAAAATGCAAAAGTAAATATGTCAGCATTGATCATGTGAGATCGGATTTCGTTGAGAGGGTGGCATTATTTTGATTACGGGGATTAAAGTTTCACCGCGTAGTTGGAAGCATTAGGCATAAGATTAAAATTTACATTTTAAAATTTGCCAATTCATGATAACTGTACTCCATTAAAATTTCCAAAGCATCTTATTCTTAAATTTTACACTTTTTTTTAACTTCACACAAATAAGGATGAAGTGTTGAACCCAAAAATATAAAAGAAAACAACTCCTCACTTAATGATTCACAATGGGCCTGAAAAGAATACATGTAGCCAACCTATCTAAGTATACCTTATTAAGTTATCAAATATGTTAGAAATTTTAATTAGCATTAGTAACTAAAAACCATGATATATATTTTAAATTATATATTGCAAATAAATTCAGAAATTAAGTTTCCCGATAAGCAATCTTTTCTATCCTCAGTTGACATAAATTTATAATGATTTCTTAACCAGATAACTTTAATACGTAAGTGACGATAGAAAAATCATTCAACAATGCCAGAACTACCATTGTTGAATGTTTATATCTATTTATATTGCATCCATTAATTTAACTGGAACTTTAAAAATTTATTTATTGATATTTTTGTTTATTTAATTTTAAAATAATGAATAAATAGGGACTGCTTTCAGTTAGCTCCATGCTTTATAACATTTTTATGTTTTCTACTAAAATTTACAATTAAGCAAAGCATTTCTTGCAAATAGACTGCAGTTTAAGCAAATATTTTCCTTAAATATATTCAGTGCATTTAACACAAACAACACCTGTTCTTTTTTTATTGAAATATCCAAACTGGCTTTTATTTCTTGGAGTTTTGGTTGGAATTATTAAATGTGGAATCCGGTATTATATCTGTAATGTTCAACTTCTGCGATATTTTAAAGAGGTCCGCCTTCAGTTTCTGAAAATTTATAAGGTATTTCTTCCGCCTTCTAAGCGTGCCTCCATGGTGTAGTGGTCTGCATGTTAGGCGCGTATTCCAGAGGTCCGCGGTTCCTAAAAAAATATTTAATGTGTCTACAAATTCAATTTTATTATTTTCCTCAAAGTCAGAAATATTTTATTCATTTCTGTTTAAATTTATATTGGAGCAGTTTTGATATACATTTTCTATTCTACTAAATAATTCGCACTAATTCTGAATCATTACCCAATCATAAATTGCATGAGGTTTGAGGGGGTTTGATATAGTTAAATGTATCATATGGAAATACTTCAAAATTAGGTTTCCGAATGCGAAACAGATTGGTATAAATAATCATTTTCCGAAAGAGAAATAATTTCCAAAAAGCAAGCATAAGAAAAGGACATTGATTGCTTAATTCCACACTTCTTAAAAGATCTAAAATCGCTTTGATTAGTTTGGTAGTTTTAATGTTAATGCAAGCATACGCAAGTATTTAAGCAGTATTTACCTTGAATTCCTTCCATTCTGTAGTGATAATGACTTGAAGAAGCAAGGAAGGAGTACGGAGAATGCTGAGGATCTTTGGGCTCCGTTCCAAAGTGCCGGGGTAATAGAGATTCGCAGGCCTCGGCCGGAGCCCCGCGAGGGAAGGCTCGGCCGGCTCGAATTAAGCAGACTACAGTCACGATGCTTAGTAAGATCATTGCATGCAGTGGCTGTCTCGTTCAACTGCTGTCTTGCCAACTAGACCGGAACACCGCTCTACCCTTTTCCTTATGAGAAACACTCTTTCCGTTTATAGGTTAAGGGAACAATTGCGCTCTCTCCAAATTTAACCCACTTTGGGATAAAAATGCAAACGCCCATCCACCTTCAACTCGATAATTAGCTAAAGCCCTTTCACTGCAATCAGATAAAAAGCGTTAACTCCCCTCTCAAGGTTACACATCAAATAATATAGAGAGTGAATACTGCATAAACTAAATTAAAAGTGAACAACAAGGGGAAAATGGAAAATTATCATGGTTCGGTTAAGAAAGAGAATTTAGGTGGAGAGCATTATATAATAAAACTCAGTCCTTTTTTATGATTAGAATAATTATTGACCTGAATTGTAAATATTGATAGGAATTCTTTAGTTCTCGTTTGAGATACATCCTTAGAAATAAAAACTTGCAAAGTTGATATCATCAGAAGTGCTTTCACATAACCTGGCCATATTTTTATCAGAAACAACATTGTAAAATTAATGATACTCTGCATCGTAATTTATTAATTATTTTATTTCATGAACGATCAAAGAAATATTCCTTTCCTTCGCTGCTCCTCAATTCCAGCTGCCAAAACAAAGTCCTAAATGAATAAATATAAATAATCCAGGCTATGGTTTTGGTATTTAAATTAACTGTTTTCAGACAGACACATCAACAAGACTTCCGGAAGATCGGTAACAATTTATAAGGTATTTCTCCCGCCTTCTTAGCCAGCCTTCGTGGTGTAGTGATCTGCACGCTCAGCGCGTAATTGAGAGGTCTATGGTTCGATTCCCGGCGAAGCCGTTGCAAATGTTTCATCTTCCCTGCTTCCAAAAATACCTAATGTCTCTACAAACTATTAGAAAAATAATTAATTGGGTTGATAGCCATCGGAACGGGATAATAATAGGAATAGGAAAGCAATGCAACAATCGACTTGCCTAAACAAAGTGATCTCGGTTATCTTTCTTGTGTTCTTCATTAAGTCTATAAACTCATCAAATTTTGGACACAGCTCTCATTTGCCTTCCTCCAGATTCTGAGAATCATTCCTTATTCCAAGAATTTGGAGCATTATGTGCGCGTATGCAACTTGGTGACAGCGTGCTCGATCGGGTCACAGTCTCCATACCTCGTAAAGTTTATCGTTTCAGAATTGTAAATTGTGACTTTTATCCATACTTCTACCCTTGAATAGTGCACGTTGAAGCCACAAGTCAGGTAATATGTAACTAAAACTAGAAGTTGTTGATATAATTGCATTAAGAAATTTCATACTGCCACTGTTATTAACAGCATGTTACAATGCAGGAATCTTATTGCATATGTGCAGCGAATGAAACATGTCCATTTCCCAACACACAAGTTTACAGTTCTATTTTTCTGAAAAATCATCCAAATGGCAATAAACGCATATCCGGCACTGAAGAATTTCCCCTTGCATACAACTAGAACTTTCTGAAGTATTTTTCGCCTGCAAAAAGCATATGATCCTGCCTGTTCTTTCTTGTCCATTTATGTCTGCAGCGTTACATCTGGAGGGGGTATACCACCCTTTGTTTTGCATGTTAAGATCATATATTCTTCTGCATTAGACAATTTCAGCGTAGAGCAAAGTATATCAAATTTCTTATATATAATAGCGTAATATTTCATGTTAGCTGAAGCGGCAGCTATTTGAAAGTTACATTCAAATAGCCATTCTTCACTGTATGGCGAGGAATCGACAATTCGTCTTGTTTACAATCCTTGCTTCTAATTGCAAAACAAAACAACTCGAGTATGTATAAAGCCAACTATCATTTACTAACTGTTACTACTCGTAGACGGGAAAATGAAAAATAAACCGTAAACAGACGAATATCTCTTACCAAATTTCAATAAGTACTTCTTAGTTTGCTCAAAGTACATAATACTGAATGCTCCTGATAGTATGGCAGCTGAGGAACTTCATTTGAAGAATTCTCCCATCAGCATACTCCAGAAAACATAATTAAATACTTACCACTTAGCTCTCTCTCTCTTTAGTCAGCTGGAAATTTAAATTTCTGGTAGACGTGGTACTCGGTACTGCTAAAATTTCGCTATCAATACTTATCCAAATTCAGCTATGTTTAACGTATTTTTATACCAGATTACAATTAGACGGTTTGCTATATAGTCGCAATGCGACGTCTCTCATCCTCTGTCAGCTATTTTATATAATCTTCTGAATGCTTATTTATTCGGAAATCAAAAGACACACAGCAGAGTTTAACTTGAGAAAAACTGTTTAGAAACTTATATGTTATAGTGCAAAAATGACTCAGTACTTTTGTTACAAAATTTGGAAAATATCTCCATTGAAGGATAAAATGGACGCTTGATATATACGTATTTTAGTAAGAGGCAACATTGGAAATAAAAATTAAATAATTTTGCTGTAATGGTAGCATTAGTTCATTCTACTGGTGAAAAAGACATTCAGATCCGTTGAAATCCAAGGAAGTAAATCCATTACTTAAGCGAAATCGGAATTTTGAACTGTAATTTATTCATGAAATGAAGAAAGTCAACAATTAAAAATAAAATGTGTTACTTGCTTGATTTCTGTGTAAGTACTGTAACTAAGAGAACTACTAGGTATACTTTGAGAAGTTTCTGGGGTTTTAATCTGAAGTGTTTGACCTCAATATTGATTGTCCTTGATTGAAGAAAAGAAATATTAATTTGATCGATTATGCTGTGGGAACTTATTTAATTTTATTAACAGTTAATTTTTAGTTAAAGAGACTTTCCTCTTCAGTCTGGGTTTAACCTACTCTATCCTGCCAGAATGCTAATAGGTTAGCGCTCGTGTATTCAAATGAGGTAGAAAGAAGTGCTATTTAAGGGAAGGTTTTGGAAAGTGATTTTAGAGCGTGTTATGCCTGCTTAACGGTCGCGCTGATATTTTGAATTACTAGCGATTTGATTCTATGTCGTTGAATGATAGCAAGGATTGTAAACAAGGCCATTAGGCTTATTTCTACCGACTTCTACGAGTCAGAGCTTTCCTGCGCGTTAAATTATCATTTGAGCTGTTAGACTAATTTAATATATTTAATTTTTAGTTCAACATTACCTGTTTTAGCTAAATTAGAAATGTTGGCTTTATGTAAGCCCAAGTGCGGCCAACTTAGAAACTATATTGATTGAATAAAGGGTTCTATATAGCCTTCTTTTTACAATTCCTCTTACGGTCTTTTAGAGCTCGTTATTTTATGTTACTAGAGACAGCAAGACTTTATACTGGGGCCCGAAAAAATAAGAAAACTATGTCACGAGATCTTTTACTATTTAATGTGATTCCTACAACATCGCAAGTCTCGCCGGCCACAGTCAATCCCTGGAGGGATTTGGATTTATTTTCGACACCCTTAAAGCTGCTATAAGACTGCTGCTATCTGATCGAAAGACCTAAATCTTAAATTTTACTGAACAATTAAATTGTCATTTTCTGTTGCATCTAATTACATAAGCGCAAAAAGTTACCACTGCCACATCCGCCGTTAGAGGCTAAGCTTCTAAGTGGTATACATGCATCGGCAAATTCATGTTGAGTGAGCCTAGCAGCGAAAGCTACAATTTCGAAAACTTTAAGAATGCGCCATTTAAAGCGTACCCCCATTGCCAACGATAGAGCCAAGCTCGAGTCGTAGCTTTTTAGTAAATTTCAGTATAAAGTTGAGGATTTTACAGACTTTATCCGTCCAAATTTTTTATTTATTTTACGGCAAGAAGCCGGATAAAGAAATTATTTAAATAATATTACCACGATAACTAGCCCAAGTATGAGATTATTTCGAGCTCCGAAACTCAACAGCGTTGGAAAGCTTAAGCGAATTAGACACGAAATTCAAATAAATATTTAGAACTACGATAGAAGCATATTTTGAATTTACATTGGATCAAAGCTCACGCTGGTCATTATATGAATGAGCGAGCGGATGCTCTAGCGAAAGAAGCCTCCCTGGGTGTTGGGACTGAAAAGGTTTTTGTTCAAGATTCGAAAAAGAAGACATGGTCTATATTATATGACAAGCGTATTAGAGACTGGAAAAATTTATGGGATCTCTCTGAAAGAAACAAAAACTCTCTAAAATGTTTAAAAATTACCAAAAAAAGGGAATTTTAGGAGATGCAGATGTCAATCACATTCTCACTGCACATGGAAAGTTCCCTGCTTATTTAAAAAGGTTCCACCTCCAGGAAAATGATATATGTAAATTTTGTAATAAATTCGACAATTCAAAGCATTTCGTTGAGGACTGTTGCCTGACTCGAAGTGTGAGAGAAAAATATAAATTTGCGAAGTTTGAGGATTTATTTAGTAATTATAAATTGTTTAGGAAATTTGCAAGAGATATTATGCAAACTGTGAATGAGAATAAGAATAATATTGGTATCGAGATATAACAAAGCAGAAAATCATACTGAAAACAGAAATAATTGAGGTAACTTATAAATTTAAGATGAATTTTAATAATATAAAGAAAATTTGAATAATAATAACAAATTGAAAGTAAAACTTATAAATATTTGTTTTAAATTAATTAAAAGTAAAACTTATTAATTATTTAAGAAAGTAAAACTTAGATTTTAAACTTAGGAAAAAACACAGAAATGGAAATGACACATTTTTAGACTATTTCACCGAGAATTTTTTGGAATGTATGTATCTACTTAACTTTTTTTTTTTTTTACCTTTGTGGCTTGGCCTGCCCCTTATAGCCATATGGCAGGTTTCTCCTCTTAGGTGGGCTGGGAGCCAGTGCTCAGAACTAACTAACTAACCCTGAAATAAAGAAAATCAGTCAGAAGTTAAATACTGTGGTAATGAGAAATTTGAAACTGCCGATAGTGCAAGATTTGTTAATTAGTATCCCTGCTGAAGCACTATTGATACAGGAGCTCAGTGCAGTTTCATTTCTGAAACTTTCTTTAGAAAATACTTTCGTAAACATACACTTTTTAAATTAGACGGGGAG